TCCCTAAGACTTGTCAGACTCATAGCAAATAGGGGAGTCACATAGTGACTTCCAACAGGCATCAACACAGAGATCTGCCACCAAAAGGTTTCCCATCCTCATGTCTTTAGCCTGGAACTGTCATCAGAGTTATCGTTCATTCTCAAATCCAAATAAAGCCCTCCTTTTGTAGGGAGGAAGCCCAAAGCAATGGAAGAGATGTTAGTCATTTACATGCAGGAGGAGAGGACATCAGAAGAGTGGTAGAGAAGGAAGTCCATGCAACTCATGGAATGAACAAGTGGTAGCCAGTAATGCAGCACCAGCCTACTGGGAGCATGCAGAGGTCTCAAGTTATATACGTGTGGTGCTTCTGCTTCATACTATCCCAGCCAGAAGCAGAGGGAAACTTCAGACTATGCCTGCTGGTTTACCTGTTAAAACACTGATCCCTCAGTATATACATGCCTGCTTGATACAGAGTAGTTAGAGCCCCCTTGCACCCCATGTCCTCTGCACGTGGAGCAGATGGAGGTCATTGAGAGGACCACATGCCTCCAGCTGGTATACACATCCCACATGTGCATCATGTAAGACCATCAGCCTCCTTTCATCTTGCAATGGGCAAAGGACCCAGCTCACCTTCCCAATAACACAAGAAGACCTTGCAACTTCGTAGCTGCCAGCAGTGGGGAATTCCTGCTCTCTGGGAAAGGGGAAGAGGGAAATATGGCTACTAGATCCTGGGGTGGCATCACAGAATCAGCTGGCCTGAAATGAGAGCAGGCTTCAGGTGAAACCTCTTTGAGCTTTCTCCTTTTAAGTCAGTCAAGCCTGGAGGATGGGTCCGTCTCATCCCTCATCCCCAAGCAACTTCCATCCTCTCATGCATGGGCATGAGCAGAACTTGGAGCTAGAGCTCATTTTCTTACCCTGAGGCAAAAGCAGCTCTGAGATCATTTGGCCACCCTCAGCACTGGGCCAGGACAAGCCCTCAGACAATACATGTTGGTTCCCTCGGGTGCACATGGTACACAGCAGATACGAGATTCAACGCATCCCTCTCAGCAGGGATGTCTCTACGTACTAGTGAGTGCTGCCTGACAGAGTTTTTTGCTGGGACTCTCATTCAGGAGCAAGTGGCAATAGGCAATTCGGATCAGCAGACTGGTTTCTTTCCCACTAAGCATTACCATTGTCCTTCTCCCCCTGGAAACTCTGCCTGCAATTAGTTTCCTAGGAGGGGGCTTGTCTGTGCCATTAAGAACAGTTACATTATGCGATCTAGGAGAAATCAATGTCTCTAATAGTCTGCAAAGGCAGCAGAGGAGGAGGACGGGGAGATGGGTGTTTCTCTGGAGACATGGTTCTCTGGAAAAACCCCAAGGGTATGGCCACAGGAAGAGAATGAGCAAGGACCTGGAGTAATTATACTTCCATGCAGCAGCAATTGCTTACTGGAAGAAGCACAAAAAGTGCTGGGTGCCTTTCGGAAAGGTGGAGGCAGTGGCGAGACTCTCCTGAGGCGCAGATGAAATGACTCTGCCTTCCAGGCAATGGTCTGTGGTGATTTACGCCACACTGGCAAGTGGAGGGAGGAGGGGCGTGGATGGACACCTTTCCTTTAAAACACCCCTTTTTCCTCTCTCTGTGTTTAAAGGCAAGAGCATGGCTCACAAGTTTTGAAGCATCTGGATTGTGCGGCATAATGAAGTTATTCTAAATGAGGTCTGAGACATTTTAATATCCTGAGGCGAGGAAAACCTTTAACTCTGTGTGCATCTTCCCCTCTCTCTTTTTCTCCATTTCCTCCTTCCTGCACACCTCTGCAGTTCCTGGAATGACAAGACACCTCACACTGGCTGGCTGTAATCTCTACAATAGTTCCCTAACGCTTTCTCCTCCTTCTCTGATTGCATTAAACCACATCTTCAGAGGTACAGCCCTGTTTATTCATGCTGCTCGTGTGGAAGGGGAAAGAAACGCAGACTGCCTCTTCCCCTGCTTTGATTTGATGGGTGTGGCAGGTTCAAACCTTTGCAGCCGCTTGCTCTCCAGCGCTGGGGTGAGGAGGAGAGGATGGAGCGGGAGGGAAGCTGTCGGATATGGCTGGTGATGAATGAGACTCATCTCACCCACAAGTGGGAAACCTGCTTGCGGGTTATTGTTTAATCACTCATGCAATCCAATACTGAGCACATACCCCCATAACGTCCATCTGTTCTACTATGCGGTGCATGCAACACTTGCATCTCTAGCCACCTATCTAACGACCCAGCCCTGCGTATTACTGACTGCATCTCTCACTGCCAGTATAGGCTAAACCCAATTCTGACCCAGCCTTTTGGTTCTGCCGCCTTTTAGCTGAGTGTTTTGTGGGTACAGATTCAGAGCTGCAATCAACTGTAGGCAGAAATGACACCACCAAGCTATCTAAATCTCTCATGGGTGGGCACAATCAGTTACTTCATTCTCCACGTTGGCATCTCACCCACAAGAAAGAATAATCTGCAAGGTATTGAGAGTGTGAATGCATCTCTCTTTGAGGGGTGGGAGGGCAGACGCACACAGGCACACCTAGACACAAACGTGAAGAGGTTCCTTCCACACCCAAGCCTGCAATTACCACATTTTGCTGTTTAGCTGCCAGAAAGGCGGGACACCAGGGGCTTCCCCTGCAAAATAATTTGAGGAGAGCTCTCTTTATTTTGGGAAGGAAACTCCTGCCCGTGCTGAAGAGCCCATTCTATCTTTCTCTCTCTGTGAAAGGTCTAGGTGGGGACAGAGAAAGAGCACTAGCTGAAATCATCCCCAAATTCAAGCTTCCTCTGGTATATCCCCAGCTTTGCTGAGCGAACTGCTATGCAGCCAGCTTGGTGGCTGTGCTGTGTGTTCAGGTATAGGAGCAGGAGTTGGGGCTCTGAGCCTAAGCAGCATCCACCAGACATGCATGGGCTGGCATGCTCAGGTTGCATGGCTGCAGTAAGGATCAGGAAGCATGTGTGAACCAGTGCCTGTGTGCTTGTGCATGTATGTGTAGTACAGACGTGAGCGAGGGGGATGTGTGCTGCACATGCACGCGCAAAGGGGTGTGTACCATGCGGTGGATTAACGTGCGGAGTGGTAAGAGAGTGCGACCAAGAGACCCGCATGCCATGCAGTTCTACATGTGTCAGAATGCAAAACGATAGGGGTAAACCCCACAAGGGTGTAAAGAACAGATTCAGGAGCTCTAAAGCCCAACCTGTGCTGGCATGGGCTAAATCATCCCCCTTTACCGATAGCTCTCTTCTGAGTCTGAAGAATCCCAGAGCTACCTACTTGGTTTTAAAATGTGCTGTGCACCTCCACCCACTGCTCTGTCACTGCCTCCCTGTCTGCCTTCCCTTCTCCTCCTCTGCTCTTTCATCCCATATCTGCCAGCAGAACGTGCTTTGCTGGCTGGCTGCAACGTGTTCCCCCCCCCCATCCTCCAGCCATCCCCACCTCCCTCCTGATTTTGCGAGCGTATCGTTAATTGTAAAGCATTTGAAAGACCTGCATGGGGGAAAAACCAGAGGATGACGCAGGAGCTCATTCCATCCTGTTCACCTGCCCCTCCCCAGTATTGTACAGAATCGCTCCTTCGTTTGCTAATACACTCATCTCCATTCAGAAACACACTTTAACCTGGGTTTTCTTTCAGCGCGATGCTGTTCTACTGGAGTTACTCACATCTGTGTTAGGCTATTGCTCCAGCATACTGCAGTGCTATACTGTAAGAGATACAGACACGTATGCATATAGAAAGTAACCAGTATGGTGTTGTACCTAAGTTTTGAGCTCAGAACAAGAACCAAAGCTCCTTGTCATTATCCCCGGATCTGCAATCCGGGAAAGTTGCCAAAATGCCTTATGAAGATATTCCTGCCTCAAAGTTCCAACTGCATAAATCCAGCATCCTCCCAAGGAAGTCCAAGAGGTTCAGCCAAAATAGGCTCTCTTAATCAGGAGCAGGTTTGGGTTTTCACACAGAATAAAAGGGGGAAGGGAGAGGGGAGAATGATCCAAGTAGCTTTTTATCAATTATCATTTTGCACATAAAGAATGTGGCACTGAACACTAGCCACCACCCAAACCCTGTCATCACCCCAATTCCCTTACAGCAAAAGCCAGGTGGTACCAGTAAAGAGAATGAACTGGTTTCCAACAGGTTCACACCAGAGCTGCACTTATCCCACCCGAGTTCGGAGCTAACAGAGGCGTGGTCCTCTGTCTCTTTACCAGCTGGTGCACAGTTGTCTAACTGGTTGTACTACGAAGGTACAGCAAAGGGGGTGACTCTCCCCCTCCCCTGGCTAATGCTTTTGTTAGGAATTAATTGCATTTTTCACTATAGCATAGGTCGGAAAAGAAAGCTTCAGGTTAATTCTTGCTTGGATTGTTGTAACACAAAAACAGGAATGCACCTGTGCTGCGAGCACATGCACATAAAGCATCTCCCATTCATCGGAGCCAGGAGCAATAGCGAGTGTGCTGACCAGGGATCAAGGCTCACTGGGCATCCTTTCCTCGCTTTTGGCATAAGATGAAGAATTGCTTCCTTTATCTCCAAGGTAGAGCCAGATCTCATCACGTTTCTTGCCAGCCGCACTACCCCCCCCCCCCCCCCCCCCCCCCCAGCATCCACACCCTCAGAACCCACAGACAGAAAATCTCAGGCAATACAAGTGCCCACTATTAAAAAATAAGAAGAATAGAGGGGGGATCCTGGTAGCTCCCCAAATGTGGACGTAGGCCACCCCCCTTCCCCACATCACCAGCCCCGAAAAGGCAAAACAGTCACATTGCAGGGTGTGAAAAGAGCAAGATGCTGAAGGATCGCAAAAGAGACGCCTGCCTGCTGAAAGCAGATGAAATTTCCTCCCCCAGCCCTTACCCCAGCCCCTGCCCCAGCCCCTCGCATGCTCAGGCAGCCACGCGCCCCACGGCCAACCCGGAGATGTCTTAAGGAACACACAAAAAGGAATCTTCGTCTCTACCTGTTTTGTTCTTCTCATACAGCACAGCATGATCGTATTGTCCCCTTCCTTCCTTCTTCTTCCTTCCTTCTCCTCTCTCCTTTTCCTCTTCTGCCTCTTATCTCTCCCCCCCACCCTCTCCGCTCCCTCCCTCCCTCCCTCTCTCTGTCTCTCCTCTCTCTCGCTCACACACACATACACTCACACACACACCAGGGCAGTTAGCGGCAACTGTAAGGTCCACAGCTATTGCTCATCACACATGCACACGCTGCCTCCCTCCCTCCTTCCCTCCCTCCCTACCCTTCCCAGAATTGTTCCAGCTCTCCCTGACTCGTCACCTCCCCACCCCACCCCCACCTCACCATCACCCCCCCCCCCCCCCCCCCCAAGTCCCTTGCCAGCCTCATGAATAATTAAAACCTCCAATCTGGACCCAATTACCCAACGACTTCCCCACCGCACAGAGGAGAGGGGACACTGCAGGCTGCGGGAGGGGCTGGGGGGTGTGACTGGGACATGCAGGGTGAGGAGGGGACCCAGGCAGGCTCCTGACACACACACACACACACACACACCCCACCCCAGAGCACATGGGCACTGCTATGTGTATGGGGTTTGTGCATGACGGGTGATGGATGGTGTGGGGTGAGCATGGGGGGAGAAGAGGGACCAGAGGGTATGTGGCATGCACAGGTGACTGCGTGCTGTAGGTGGGAGCTGCGGGCTAAATGGGAATGAGGGAATATGTTAAAATGGCTGTGGAAAGTCCCCCTCCCCCTCCCCAGCACGCTGGCAAACACATATGTAGGTGTTGTCTTCTTCGTACATGAAGGGTTGGGAGACCTTATAGCAGCCTTCAGTACCTAAAAGGCACCTGCAAGAAAGCTGGAGAGGGACTTTTTACAAGGGCAGGCAGTGATTGGAGGAGGGGGAGTGGGTTTAAGCTGAAAAAGGGGAGATTTAGATTAGATATTAGGCAGAAGTTCTTCCTTGTGAAGGTGCTGAGGCACTGGCACAGGGTGTCCAGAGAAGCTGTGGCTGCCCCATCCCTGGCAGTGTTCAAGGCCAGGTTGGAAGGGGCTTGGAGCAACCTGGTCTAGTGGAAGGTGTCCCTGCCCATGGCAAGGGGTTGGAACTGGATGAGCCAAACCAAGTCATTCTATGATTCTATGAAGGCATAAACCCTGTATGGTGAAGTCATGACAACTTTGCTCCTTGTTCCCACAGTCCATCCTATAGACTTTCCACAGGCAGCAACTATGATACTCCTGCAAAAGAGCTTATTTGTTCACAATAGCTTCAAAACCTACAGAAATCATCCCTCTTGCTTCTGGAGAGACCTCAGTTAATTTCAGCGTCTCAGTAATTTCTGTGTCTATTGATCACTGCCTGAAAATTGTTGTAACCTAGTATGAGGAAGATGTGTGTGTCCATGCTCCCAACTACCCTTCGTGTGTGGGGTAACAGATCTGGATGGGTTTCCATGTAGAGGAGGGCCTGAGTGAACACTGATGCTCAAACACACAACCAAGCACATGTCTTGAAAGTTATAGCAGTGTATATATGAGCAGGATAGCTATCTCTGTCACTGTTAGAACATATTCCAAGACAAGAGTTAAACCAAAGTATGGCAATGTTGAGCATGTTAAAAATATAAAGAGACTGCTGGATTTTTAGGATTTAATATACCAGAATTCAAATGTAGCTTATTTTATTCACTGCGTCTGGGAGGCACAGTCAGATGCTGTTCTCTTTTTTAGCACTAATGTCACTACATCAACTTCTCTGCCACACCACGGAGTTACTTCTAATACATTTTTAATGCAAAACTGCCCTCAAAAGAGCAAAATTAAATGTCATAGGTTATTATTAAGGCCTTTGCTCTTTAAATATCTCCATTTGTACATTATTAACACAACTATTCACGCACATGTGCACGCTTATACAAATAAATGTGTACACATATAGCTACGGTTTCTGGAATACCCCTCAGCACAGACTCCTCCATAATCATATTCAGTTGCTATGACATCATTGCAGTTCCCAGTACCCCATATATTTTTAAGCAGCATTTCAAAGAGGATCTAGCTAGCTATCTGCATCTGTTTGCAGTTTAAGGGATATGCCTCTTAGGGTCAAGCAGGTATCAGCAATAGTCCTGGTTTTGCAGCCTAGAAAAGGGAAATAATGGTATGATAATGATATTCAGAGAAGATACTAAACTGGGAAGAGTTGCAAACAGCTGACACAGAGCAGACCAAAGGATTAAATAACAAAAATCAGATTCAGCTTTCAGAGAACAAGAAGGCAAACTAAGCGATCATGAAAGAAGATGGGTAAGAAGTGGAGCAGCGGAAAGCAATGGGCATGAAATCTGAGGAAGGAATACATCACTGCTGACAGCACCATGCTAAGGCATAGTGGAGCAGTGCAATGGTGTTTTGGATTATGTCTATGGGACTTAGGACCCTCTGCCCCTGCCCCAGGATTTGCAGGGGCTCATCTCCATGACGAAGCTGGTGTGTCATGAGCTTGTGGGCACTTGCTTACCCACACAGCTGTTCCCATGCCACTGGGAGATGGGACTCCTCTGGCCAAACATGTATGTCCGCATCTGAAAGCATCACTCTGGGCTCCCTTTGGTGACAACAAATTGAAATGGGAACTCTGAGGGTGTGATTCAGCTCATCCTAAAGCAGGAGCCTAAACTAGGTCAGACAAATCACACTTCAGAAGTATTTCAGAAGCTTGTTTTCTTCTCGCTGACAAGGCCTTCTTAGGGAACCTCCAAGCTGAAGGGAGCCCTGCTGAGGAAAGCCTTCCCACCCTCAGTGCTTCCCAGACACCTACCAGAGGAGGAGCAGCGAAGGGCTGTGTTGGTGCATCTAGCTATGGTCAAGCCACCTTCCTTCACACACTGGGGCAGTTGCTCACCACCTTCAGGCAGAGCCAAAGGCAGCACCACGTCTCTTCTGCTCATCCCCATGGGCACTCTATGCTTTAGCTTATTGCAAACCACTTTTGCCACATAGACAAAACCTCCTTAATAGGTTTTCGATGCACACAGCGTTCGTGGTGAGTGGCCACTGCAGAGTCATATCTGATATTCCTCTGAATTAATCTTCTTATGTGGAAGAGCCATAAGCTAAGACACAAGTTTTCAGGGCATGTCAGCTCTTAACACCCCTTTCTTTCAAAACAGTATATTTAAAAGCTGGAATTTAAATTATTTAGCCAATTATATGGTTCTGAAAACCATACCTCATCATCCCTGGCCCTGCCATTTTGGCTATGTTATCACTTTGACCTGTAAGGTAAATTATCAGGTGACATGGAAGGAAAAAAAGGACAAGTCCACAGCAATGAAAGGGCTGAAGGGAAAAAGAGGGAATTAGGCACAAAGTTCAGCCAAGGAATTAATGAACATCACAAGCAAAACTCAAGGACAGAAAAGGAGGGGAATCTCCATTTCCTGAAGTCACCAAGTCAAGATGGCATGCTTTCATCCAAACAACACTTTTGTCTTCCTACTGCATTGCCAATACAGGCTCATCCAGCTCTTCTTCAGAGTTTCTTTATAACACTGCATCATGCAATGTAGACATGCCCTGAAAAGCCCCTTTGACCTCGGCTTTTGAATCTACACAAATAAAAGGAAGAGCTGTTCTGAAGAACAACATGAATGGGGAGCTTGGGAAGCGGGCTGGAAGGAGGGGGTGAACAATGACCATAGATTTTAAAAGCTTCATCTGTGAGACTTGACTAAATGACAGCTAAGGAGGTGGACAAGTGTGGTATAGCCATAAACTTCAAGAAGGAAGAAAAGCCATTTGGAGTGATATATGGCCCACTGTTTGGTGCACGCTGCATGTTCCTTTGCTGTGAAGCAGAGTATGGTTTGTAATTATTCAGAGCAGCCCTTTAATTCAAAGCATATATTTGATTCAAAAGGCTCCAGATCTTTTCAAAGTAAAGAGAAGTATCAGTGATTGTTACAGAACAGGGTGAGTAGACTGAGAAACACAAAGCAGTGCTTATTCCCTGTCCAGTTCTGGAAGACTTAGCAGTGCATTTAGTTGCCCCAGCAGCTCAAGGTCCACACTGGTTGAAGGAAAAAGCATCTTCAGTCCAGCTGCTAATTTAGGTTCAATAGTAACAGTTTAGATCTGGGTTTGAAGAACTACCTAGTTTCAACCTGCTCCTGCGCCTGTAATCAGGCTGATTCCCTGGGCAGATGAAGTTAAGTAAAGGAGGAGGCAGATAGTTTGCCTATAGGAGCTGTCCCAGTGGTAAGATGCTAAAGTGAAGAGGCGTCTCTTCGAGAGAAGTACTGTGAAAGTCCCGTTACTAGGGATATTTAAAGCTTCAGTAAAAACAGCTCGGAAGTGAGTGACTTGCCTTCATTGGGAGAGAGCCTGGGTTTTCTCTCTATTCATATTTTACACATATAGTGGTAGCCTCATCTTTTGTTAGCCAACTTTCATTCAGAAGGGAAAAAAGCCAATTTTATAAGGATTTTTTAGGATCCTCATTTGAATAGGCATTCCTGAAAATCCCACTGGTGGCCCACTTGTAGTTTTAGTTTCCTCAGTAGTTTTGCAGCTCTTGTCTCATTTGGCCTCACTTTCAGTCATCTATAGCTTAATGGCACAAAATAGTGCAGTGCAATGCTAGGATCAAACTCCCATCCTAAATGATTTAGACATAGCCATGAGTCTCCTCAGAGGAGTTCCAGTTTTTCAGTGTAAGGACCTCTTATGTCAATTTACCTTGGATTTCAGTTAATCCTAAATTATTAATAACAGCAAAGGAGAGCCTGATTTCTTTTGACCTGAGACTGTCAGTATGCCACAGGCTGAAATAAGTGACTTTAAAGCCATGATTTTCAAAAGCCACAATGACATTTACTCTTGCAGAGAAGTGTTCAGGAGATTCCAACTCAGGAACACTCCAACTCATTCAGTGCCTTTAATGACTGCTCAGTTGCTCGTCCTCCAAGACACTGAACACACGACATTAGCACTTGTTGTCATCGTGCTAGTCCAAGAGAGATGCACAAGTGCTCTGCATTTATTCCCTGTGATTTCCATTTCCCTTCCCATGCCTGCACAGCTGGGCTCACAGCACCTGACTTTACAATAGGAAACATAATAAGAAATTGCCTCAATAATTTCCCCGTTTTCATCATTCTTACTAAAACTGTGGTTTCTGTACATTGTGTGGCTCATACAAACTGGAATTTCTGGGCGGAGGCAAGGGT